TTAGATTATGTTCTCTAACCTCTCTAGCTTTACACTCTTCTTGAAGAAAAATATTTTTACTCTTCAAGTTACTCACTTCAAGTAAAGCATCTTGAAATTTTTTATTCATCTCTTCTTTTTCAAGAATTAGAATATTATTGCGCTCCTTGAGTTGAGAATGAGTGGCTAAGATCTTTTGCCAATCTCGCATTAGATTGCCAATAGATTCACGAGAAAAGGAAGAACTAACTGAAGTAAAAGAATTAGATGTTACATCTTCTTTCTCTGCTTCAAGTGCCATTAGACAATCTTCACTCAACTCATTTGATTTGCATACTAGTGCTCTATCATTTTTTGAACTTGAACTTTCATTGCTTGATGACGATTCGTTGGACTCATCATCTTCATTCGGCTCATTGCTAAGTAGCGCCTTTCTTTTGTCACGTATGAATCTTCGATCTTTGTTATCGAATTTATTCGGTGTAGATTCAACGTTTTTGCCTTGATATTTGCTAACGATCGGATGCCGACAATTTATTTTAAAATGTCCGGGTTTGCGGCAGTTGTAGCATAGATCGTTCATTTCATCAACTTTTTCTTCATTCGGCTTCCATGCGCCATTTTGATTTCCACGAGAGAAATTTTGATTTCTTCGTGATGAATATTTGTTGTCTCCTTTTCGCATGAATTTCCTAAACTTTTTAACAAAGAGAGCAAACTGTTCATCAGTCATAAAATCAATATTATCTACTGACCTGGAGGTTGACGGTTGTTCGGCCAATAGAGCTGGATTTCGAACTTCATAATCTTCGTCATTTTTGGCCTTCATTTCGAACTCATAAGCTTTAAGATAACTAAACAATTTGTCGGTTGACAACGTTCTTAGATCTCGGTGATCTCGCATAGCCGTAACCTTCATGTCCCATGCGGATGGTAAGCCTCGTAGAATTTTGAGATTAATTTCTTTTTAGCAATTCTCTTTGCCAAGATCATTAATCTCTCCAAGAATTTTAATCATTCTTGCTTCCATATCAATAATGCTTTCACTTGATAGCATTTTAAAATCTTCGAACTTCGTCATGGCTATCGTGAGCTTGTTGTCCTTCTCTTGTTCATCGCCTTCACCGATCTTGATGAGAGTATCCCAAATTTCTTTCGCGGTTGTGCATTTTCGAATTTTTGGGAATATTGTATCATCAACGGTTTTGAATAGAATATCTTTGGCAATGTTGTCAAGATTATTTCTTTTTCTATCGTCTGATGACCATTCCGATTTCGGCTTTGGTACATATTGTCGAGCATCGGATGATAGAAGAAATGTCGTGTTGACTTTCAGTATTTCTATTGGTCCATTAGAAATGACTTCCCACATTTCATCGTGTAAGGCCGATAAATGAACCTGCATACGAACTTTCCAATCATCAAATTTGTCAAGTGAGAATAATAAATTTTGAGCTAAATCTTTATTCATTTTCACGTGGGAAAAGAATAATACAATCCAATCACACACTGGTAAAATGGATATGTCTAGCAGTCAGAAACAAGGTTGACCCAAATAGGTAACTTGCTTTGAAACAAATTGACCCAAATAGACAACCTGCTCTGATACCAATTGTTGGTCACAAAGGGGTGAGGTAAAAGTCTAGAGGGGGGGGGGGGGTGAATAGACTTTTAAACTTTTCGCGAATGCAACAAATGTTAAGGCAACAGAGATATCAAAACTCTTAACTAGATTGTTAGAGTCTTGTACGCAGCGGAATAATTAAAGTAAGCGTGTGTGATGATTGTGTCAAGTGTATTCTCGTGATAGCAGTAAGTAAATAAAGCAGTAAATGACACAAGGCAATTTATAGTGGTTCGCGAGGGGATGTAATCCTCTTACTCCACTTGCTCTTTTCTCCAAGAGCCAATTCACTATATCCACCACTTCTTGGTTCCAAGATATAATGAATTTCCGTGATCTAGTGCTTTGATCACTAAGCCCACACTAATCACACCCAGTGCCTCCGACACTGCTGCTTCGGATTTCACAGCTCCGTGCTACTTTCCAAGATTTCACAGCTCCGTGCTACTTTCCCCCCGTCTTCCACGACCCGGTCGACGTATCCCGTGATCTGGTGCTTTGATCACCAAGCCCACACCAATCACGCCCAGTGTTCTTCAACACTGCTGTTTCGGATCTCACAGCTCCGTGTGACAATCCAGGATTTCATAACTTCGTGTTACTTTCCCCCCGTCTTCGACGTCCCGTGAACTAGTGCTTTGATCACAAAGCCCGCACTAATCACGTCCAGTGTTCTCGAACACTGTTGATTCACTTGTTTGTAGAAAAACAAGTTTCACTGGTTTTCCAACTTTGAGACTTCTTGAATAGATCTTCAATGTGCAGCAAGTCTCTCAATGATGAAGAATTAAACACTCTTGAATGTTTTCTCTTTGAGCTCTCTGAGTGTTTTTCTCACTTGAATATTTTCTCACTTGAGTATAACACTTGTTCGTATATGCAGTTCGTTGCTTGTGTTGGAAGTACTCTTCATCTGCTTCATTCTTCATCCTTATATAGCTGGTTTGAGAAGTTGCCCGTTGAAAAAAGACAATCTCAAATTTGAATTGTAGATCTTCAAATTTGAATTCCAAATCTCAGATTTGAATTCTTGTAGCCTTTTGCAGAAGATCTGTAGCTTTTTTAGAGGATCATATTAAGAATAATATCTCTCTGTTATTTCGGCCGTTGCTCTGTATGTGGTCCATGTGAAGAGACTTAAAATATTTCTGCTGTAGATCTGTCTTCACGTGAAGGCTCTTAAAAATAATTCTGATGAAGATCTTGCCTTCTTGGACTTTCATCTTCTGTGTATTTTAGTCTCTCTGTATGTGGCTACTGATGAAGTGTTTCGACCAATGAGATGTCTTTCTCCAACTTCAGCTCTTACTATTTATAGCTTGAATTTGCAAACCGCATCTCTAACTTCATTTCGAAACTTCTACTCCAACCTCTTCTCTTCCTTATTTTCGAAACCTCTATTGAAACTTCATCTCTTACTTCATCTCCTTCTTAGTTTCGAATTTCTTGTATTTAATTTCGAAATTTCGAAACCTCTTTTCAAACCTTAGCTCCTACTTCATCTTTTGGAACTGATTTAAGGCTTCTTTATAAAATTGTAAGAAGTGAGTTTTGAACTTGAGACCTTGCGGCTTATACATCAAGCTGTAATCCATCTCAACTGTACAAATTATTAGTCATTATAGCATTCCTTTTGATGTACTTCTTTCTTTCCATAGATGCTTGATCTTCAAGATAACTTCATGAAATTTGCGGTTGCTTCTCGTTTCTTCCAAATGAGATCCATCAGTATGACTTTCTTCTTTGAGTTGGGCGTGTGGGCTATTTTAGTATACATATCATACGCATACATCTTCTTCTTTGTATTTTTCCCTTTCTTCATATTTGTTAATTTTCCTTTTGTGGTCTGTGACACGCCTAGACTTAACAAATAAAATTGGGGATTGTAAAATACAATTTGGCATATCAAAATCTATTACAATATATTCCTAACACATATCAATACCCAGTTATCATCACAGGCAAACAATCAACAATAAGGCACATATTGGTGCACACACATATGGTGGTGCCGCAGGACCATTCACATGACCCGAACCTTGAGTTCCATTGCTAAGGGACCAGTGCATATAGCTCTGACATGGCCCTGCAGCACTTTAACTTGTATCGCAGCACAAGGAAGAACCAAACGATTGATCGCAACTAATCAATGAACCGCAGCTCATTCGTATTATAAATGTTTGATCGCAACCAAACTATGGACCGCAGCCCTATTATCATATATGTCTGATCGCAACCAGACTATGGACCGCATCCCTATTAATATATATAACAGCCGATTGTTCTCAACCAATCCAACTGCCTGTATAGCCGACCGATCGCAACTGGTTGGGTTAATACCTGTTTGTTCTCAACAAACCAGATAGTCATTATAGCCAATTGATCGCAACCAATTGGGTCATCATGCACAACAACATCGAAGCCAATCAACAAGCAATCCACATTAACACATAACGAGGGGGATTCATCGGGGAACACGTAATCCAACATAACTCATCCATAACAAACAACATTAACCCACCCACGACACTCCTACGGGATCATACAACTTCCTCCTAGGCCAACGGGATACCAATTCAACTCGCATGCAACACTCAAGACTCTTTTATCCTAAGAATGGTACCCGATACATCAAACTAGACTCACAAACACCGATGGGATATAACGGGACACAACGGGACACGGGGAAACATCAAACGGGGGAAAACATCACATTACCCACCAACTTTCCAATGGGTGGGCGGCGGGTGGAGGACCACCCGCCGGTAGCGGCTACAGTTCCAGCGGGTGCCCGGCGGGCAGTCGCCTGCCCGTTGGAAACCGGGCAAGGGGGCAGCGGGTAAGTGGCGGGCACCCTTGCCCCCACCTACCCCCCACTGAATCATATGAAATATTTCGATCCCGGGATCTTTCGTGAAACCCGAAACCATGTCTAGACACATTCAAACACGAACGACAACACCGCGTATTCAAGTAACGGAATTAAACAAAAAATCACACCAAATACACCCTAACACGATTCCTAAACATGCCAAGACTCAACAAAAATCATATAACGACCCAGGGACATCTAGAATCACAAGAACATCAAGAAACCTATATGTAAAGTCCTAGACACACACTAGTACAAAAACAGTCATTCACATCCAAAGTTAACGCTAAAAGGCGTCCAAAGCTGCTTGGACGCGGATGTAGGAGACGCTAATTGTATATACAATTAGCGTCCAAAGTAACTTTGGACGCGAAAAATGATAATTCGCGTCCAAAGTTTAAGAACTTTGGACGCGTATAGTATTTTTTTATTAAAAAAATAAACACTATACGCGTCCAAACTTCATGAACTTTGGACGCGTATAGTGTTTGTATTTAAAAAAAAAATACTATACGCGTAACAAACAAGTGCAAGAATTACGCAGATTGAACAGTAACAACTAAGTTTAATAGATTTTACAGGACTCAGAAGCTCTGATCCTCTAATGTAATTTCTTTCCCATTTATAAATACAATCTCCATTTCTGATCAAAGATATATATATACAACCACATCAAAACAGAGTAACAAAGTAATAATATCAACTAGTAAAACATTCTAGATGAGGACTCGTGAATGGGAAAATATTATCATTTAGAAAATTATAATCATTAGGTTTATGAATTCCTGTGGATAAACCCACATGAAATAAAATTTCAAAATGAACATGCTTGCCTCATTTGCATCTTTGCAATGCCCATTAATCTTCTTACGCCATTTCACTCGCCAGCACCTATTTAGCTAATAAATTTATGCCAATTACAACAAATAAACAAATTCACATGATCATAACATCAAAGGAGAGAAATATAAACCTTTCTCTCCCTAAACGGCGGGCAAGTTCTTCGGCTAGAGCCTAGCCAGGTGGATCCCCATCAGTTGCAAGTATTATACGAGATGCCTATTAAAAATAAAATAAAAAAATCAGAGAACCAAAGCCTTATGGTTGCAGCATTTTCACAACATTATAAAAGAAATAAGTCAGCAAACCTTTTCAAAGAATTCTTTGCAGTTCCAAAGATATTTATACCTTGTGTCCTATCTTTACAGAATCCACATAAAACAAGCATTAGATCCAACATTTGTAGAAGATGTTTCATCGCTAAGGAAAGTGAAGTTTGCTTATATCACATACAAACTTGAAAGAGCTTTGATCTTGTTCTCTATATTGCTTTTTCCTCATTCTTACCCATTACAAGAACCAATCTTATTTGGACTTTCGGACTGAAGGACAAGAAGCTAAATATTGATGCACATAGATGAAAAGAGCCGCTAGAATTAAAATAATGCAGCACATGGAAAAGCAAAGAAAGTAAGCAAATGCATTTTGAAAGATACAGAAAAGATATGAAAGAGAGAATTTCCTTAAGGATTGTGTTGACTATTGATTAAAATGTAAAATAGTGACCTGATCCTCGGGTGGCAACTCTTTTTTGGAAACTGATGCAGGAGCACCGTCGGGGACACTGACACAATTACGAAAGCCAGCTTCTTCCATTGCAATCTTGTCCATCTCACCCTCAACCTGCAATAAAAGAGTAGGCATTTACAAAGAGCACAATCCTTAAGTGCTTCTATAAAGAGGGAAATTTAAGAGACTTGAGATTACAATAATTATATCACTTGCTCCCGTTATACCATCCAATCCATACAATGTCCTTTCAGTGTCACTTTCCTGAAAAGTAACAATGGCACAACAATCAGAGATTAGTAACACTGTGCCAAAAAACAAAATAAAAAGCAAATGATATTCATAGTTTAGAATCAAAAGCATCAAGAACAATAAATAGAAGAAAATCTTAAAATGGAAAATCTCAATCTTAAATCTAGTAAATACTTCTCTAGAAATAGTTCATTTATCTCAATCCAAGCTAACATATGGCAATGCTGTAACTTCATATCAAAATTATTCATCCACCAACAATTAAGTGGACATGAGGAAAAATCAAACAATTCATTTTACAAGGCATATAATGTACAACTGCATCACCACTAAATCATCCAATCAGCATGTGTCCTATTTATATTGAATGCAGATTTGAACACCCATTACGAATGGAATCATAGAATAAGTTCAGCCTCTTAAACTTGTGGCATGGATGTATAAACCATGTCCAAGAATCAATACTTGCCAACGAAAGCTCAAAAGACACATAATAAAAATGCATAAGCCGATTGTATGCCTCAATAAAAAAGATGCTATGATTAACATCCTTTATAGGTCTAATAACAGGTACTCTACAGGCAAAAGAATGAGTCAAAGTTAGTAGCACTAATTAAGAATCCATTTATAAGTCTTGTTTCCTTTCCTGAATAATCAATGTAAAATTTATATTCATATTTAGGCCCAAGGGGAGCAGGTTAGGTAGTGCGCGTTACTTGACAACAGATACTAACTTCAACAGATAGTGTGCTTTGAAGTGCTAAGAAGGTTATTTGAAAAACACTCCAACCTGAAACACTTTCAACAGATAAGCTAAAATATGCCCTGCCGAAACTGCTTTGAAAAGCTTCAGTCCTAGAAAACATCTTTTCTTTGAAATAATTAATGATTTTAGAAATAATTACTGATTTTCTAATTGCAATTACAATAATTACTGATTTTTGAAAAAAAAAAATAACAAAAAAATTAAAAATTACGTACCTGCAGTCGGCCGGCGTGCGTAGCTGCGGCGGCAGTCAGCATGCGTGGCTGCGGCGGCGAGCGTGGAGAACGGAGGTGTCAGCGGCGGCGAGCTTGGGCGGCTTGTGGTGGACGATGAAGCAACGACAGTGCGGATGGAGAGCGGCGGACGGCTGATGAACGGCGTCGAAGTGAAGAATGGACAGCGGGGACGGCTGATGGAGAGCGGCAGGCGGCGGACGGCGGATGAAGACGATATGGATCGGAGCGGATGAAGATGATGGTTTACGCGTGAGAAGATTGGAGCAGCTGCTGGGTTGCTAGGGTTATTTGGATTTAAAAAATAATTCGCGTCCAAAGTTTGCCACTTTGGACGCGAGTGATGAATGTGATTCTATTATTCGCGTCCAAAGTACTGAGCTTTGGACGCGAATAATAGAAGACTTTTAATATTGGCGTCCAAAGTACAGAGCTTTGGATGCCAATACTGTTTTAAAATTAAAAAAAAAAAAGGAAATTATATATATAGTGGCATTTTAATTACAAAAATGTCACTGCATTACACTTTAGACGTCCAAAGTTCTTACTTTGGACGCGAATTAGTCGATTTTATTGATGTTTTTTGTACTAGTGACAAGTCCTAGACTAGACTCAACACCCGATCATGCAACATCCCATCCAAATATACCAAGAATATTATAATACGAAATCCACGTTACAACCCTAAGGCTCTAGACATAATCAAAATACAAGACCGTTCATATAATTTATCATAGTATCAAGAACGTCAAGATTATCACATAAGCATCAGGATTAACACATAAACATCAAGATTATCACATAAACACAATATAAACCCTAGGCAAAGCTCTATCAAGACTCAAGCACAGAATCATATATCAAAGAAGCCAATGTATAAGATATAGCAAGGAAAATAGGTTTTGTTGAGACATGGGTTACCTCTTAGCCTTAATCGATATCCTTGGCTACTAAGGTTCTTTCTCTAAGATCTTCTTCTCGTGGGTTCTCCTACGTTTGGTGGCAGGGGGGGATTCCTGGGAATACCTTGTGTGGTAGAATTAACTGTGGTAAGTTTCTAAATGCTTCTTAAGTCCCTATATATATATATATATATATATATATATATATATATATATATATATATATATATATATATATATATATATATATATATATATATATATATGGTTGAGTTCAAATGAGGACAACAATATATAGAGGACTGTGAGGACAAATAATAGGCACACAACAAATTAATACCAGACACACAACTTAATACATAATGGCACACAAGAATAAATGTAAACATCAGGTTTCGAACCCAAGCTCTATAAATTAACAAATCTAGCACGCGACATACAAACTGTGGCACACGACTACATTCGGCCATGCACATGACATACCAGGTAATGGCACACACTACATCTGTCCTCACAGTCCTCTATAATATACTTGTCCATATTTGAATACACACACACACACACACACACACACACACACACACACACACACACACACACACACACACACACACACACACATATATATATATATATATATATATATATATATATATATACATATATATATATATATATATATATTTAAGAGTCCTAACTAGGGTCTGAATAGCAATGGTCCACCCATCCTCTTCCTTGTAGGATTAAGGATTTGGGTTTTAAGGATAAGGGTCCATGATCCATGGTGGGCCACATAAATTAATTAAAGGGATCCTAACTTAATTAAATCCTTTCTACTTATTATTAACGGTAATCAATTAAATAATTAGTTCGGGTTAGAGGCCGTAACACGGGGTGTTACAGCCTAGGTAACAAGGTGGATTGCGTCCCGTGATCTTCCTAGACATATCTCCGCCACCATTGTTCCCATTATGCACGGCGGTCCGATAGTCTGAGTCAACTGGGTGAGCTGGCGCAGGCTCTCTGTCAAGTCAGTAGATGATGACGCTCCAGGTCCTGAGGAGCGAGGAGATTCCTCTCTAACTCTTCGCGGCGGCATCGCGATGTCCTTTTAACATGACCAGAACAGATCATTCTTGTTAGCACAACTAAGGGTTAGCTGATTCTAACTTTTCTATTCTTAAGACAAAGCTCACAACAATCAAGGCACACAAAGAAAGAAAAAGCTTTTCTTCTCAACTACTTTAGCAACTTATCAAAGAATTTCTCTTCTATGCTTTAACTTTAAAAGGTTCACTGCTACTAGCCTTCCTAGCTTTTCACTTCTACTTTCAACTTTCAAACTCTTGGTTTTTCTCTTTCAACTTCTCACTTTTAACTTCTCTACTTTACTCACAAAAGATAACAAAAGCACTTTAAACACATTGATAAAACACATAAACAGTTAAGCAAACGCAAGAAAAACTCACAACCTCACCGCGTTCCTAATTGATACTTCTCTTAACTCTGATTCTCATACTTAACCACTTAACTTAGAGTCTTTCTCATCTTAATTTTCATAACTTAGGGTTCTTTCCCTAATCTTATCCTTCCTAGGATTTCCTTTAAGTTCATCTTCTTAACTTATCCCACTTAGGGTTTCAACTTAGAGGTCATTTCCTAATCGGTCTTTCCTAGGATTTCCACTTAGAGTTTCTATACTCAATCCTAAGAGTCAAACTTCCTAAGTCTCCCGCGGTTCGTACCGCTCTGATACCAACTTGTAACACCCCACTTTTCTTAAACTTATTTACAGTTCTAAAACCAAAATCAAGATAAACTAAGCAGCAGATAAACAAACTTAAATAACAAACTAATGGGAATGTCACCGCCACAACCACCTCTCGACGGTGATTTCCCAGGCTAAGGATAGAACTAAGTCATTAAGTCGAACTAACATTGAAATTACTTAATTAAAATCACTTGGGGGAAAGAAACACCCCGATGTCTATCACCAAACATAAATAACATAAGTCTATAATCCATCATCATAACATCATAAAAATAAACAGAGTTTAGACTATTAGATCTACTAAACTAGTCTAACTCGAACAACTCTCAAATGTTGGGCCCACCTGAAAGGGGTTTTGCAAAACAACAAGTAGACAAGTAGAAAACACCCGTTAGCACGAAGCTAAGTATAACCACACTCCACACTGTAAAGTACTACAGTATATACTTTGGAAAACATTTGCCCACATTCTCAAATTAAGCAATCTCAACAATTAGATAAACTTTAAGATAAACTACAAGCTTTCAATATGCTCACAACTTATAATATCAACAGGCATGCTTCAACGATAAATAACTTATCAACATAATCACTCTAACACATATTCAACCTAGCAAACTCATCATAACGAACTCATGCTATCAAGCAATTTCGTACTATCAATCAATAAGAAATTATTCTCATGCTTTCGAGTTCTCATCATGCAAACTAGATATATAAGACATCAAAATGCAACTAAGGCAATCATACTCAATACACAATCCCAACTAATCATTCTCATTATGCAATCTAGTGCAAACATTCTCGATACAATCTCGTGCAACATTCTCATTATGCAATCTCGTGCAACATTCTCATTATGCAATCTCGTGCAATACTATACTCGAATGCAATAGGATGCTATAGGATAAGTATACTTATACACTCGTTTGTAAATAAAATACTTCGTGCAATACTATACTCGAATGCAATAGGATGCTATAGGATAAGTATACTTATACACTCGTTTGTAAATAAAATACTTTTTTAAGGAGGTTTCTTAGAGCCACAAGGACTCGCTTACTTTCATTTATTAGAGTCGCAATGACTCGCTTTCTTAGAGTCGCAATGACTCGCTTTCTTTACAAATGGATGAGGTAGGAACTTCACCATGAACGAACCTATCCCGGTACGGCCTCTAGCCAACCTATGCTCAATCTCATCCACCGAACCACTCTCTTGGTTCTAAACTCATCTATGTGGAATCAGGTATTGAACTTTTAGCGTGCACACCCCCTTACCA